ATATATATATATATATATTGATACCTCTAGCCCTAGGATATATAGGTATATTATATATATATATATATATATATATATATTATACGATATATTGAAGGTCAAACAGTTGCCTTGTCGCTTCCGTCATGAATATCTGTCCTGCCGCTGTCGCTTTTCATTATCTGCCATAATGGTGTTTTTAATGTTATAATTGTGTGATGAAGTTGTATTTCCACTTGGTATTTTTTTAAGATTCCGTTTATGCCTAAATAATAGCTTTCGCATGTTTCCAAATGGTTTTAATAGGAATCATCTTCTCATCTTCTCGCCCTTTTTCTATATTAATTACATTGTTTTGGAAAATTTTTTTCAGTCAAAGAAATACCCGCCATTTAAGTATTATTCGCACCCCTTAACCACTTCCTCGCAAGCTTCACAAACGACTTCCTGTTCCGTTTTTGAAAAGCGTTCCATTTCCTTCACATTAACCGTATAAAGATAGAACACTTCCGCGTATAACTCTTTGATGTGAAAGTTCACTCTTTTCTAACTATTCAAAAGTTGTAAGTTGCTTAGGGTGGTGTGGTCCCTGCTATAGCATAACCCTCTCTCGTATTCTATTAGCCGGAACGATCTTCTTTAGTCTGAGCAGATATGTCCAATGATATTTGCTATTCTTGTTTAGCACCTATTAATATGTACTTTAATGTGAAAGTGCAATCCCTTAACTCTCTCTATATAAGCTCTCAGAACTCGTACCATAGCTCATATAATTATTGAAAGTATCCAGTTGTTATCTAACATTATTCTTACTTTATTATGCGTGTATTTCTTCTTCTTTACCCACAATATTTTTTGCATGAATTTAGATTATTTTCTTATGTTAATTGTGAAGGGTAAACCTAGCAGAGACCAGATTTTGTTTTGTGAGGTATTATCCTATTATCGATTTTCTAGCAACCATCAATCTTCTCGTGAAAATTGACCTTAACTGACTCTACGATATTTATTATCATCAACTATATGTATAACCAGCCTACATGTAACTTCTAGACCATTTAACATTAGTTAAATTATGTCCTGTTGTTTTTACTTTTTTGAAGGCCTTACCCTGAGAAAAATTATGAATTGACTTTTCATATAGTAGAACATTGGTTTGAAAAATTAAATTGGTGTAGTGAACCCGGTACTCCTTGTCTTACTCCCAATTTCTTATCTTATCTCCATACTGGTTCTTCCTAGATTTCCTCTCCCTCATTTTTTCTCAATGGATTTTTCTATACAAGTTGTTGTTATAGAGATAATATATTCAAGGTCCTGTCAGTCCACGGATGCAGGTCTGTTTCATTTTGATCTGAGAATAGAAGTTTTTCCAGTGAATCTAATGTCAAAAAGCTATATCTCCAAGTGTTCTAATGGAATGCTTACATAATCTGTGTACACACGTTTGCATATTCTATTCATTCTGTCTTCCGTAGAGTATTTTGCAATTTTTTATTTTGCTCGTACCTCTTCGCTGAGCATTAAATAACCTGAAATTGACCTGCAAATCACAAACTGTGTTCAACTAGCTCTCACTAATTGGGTGGCTGGTGGTGGTGGTGGTGGTGGTAGTGGTGGTGGTAGGATGATGATGAGAATTTTGGCAGCATGGATTTATCTTTAGGAGTGTTTCCACTAAATTTGATTACTTCTCGTGGC